AGGAGGGTCTGCTGTTCTTCATCTAGCGGTAATCAGTTGTCAATATTCCTTTGGACAAGATTGGGGTCTGCTGTTCAGTTTCCCAGTTCTATGTTGAGATACTATCTTGATCAAGAGGACAGGTGACCCAATTTTTAAAGGGGCTGGAGAGACAGCTCAGCAGTTAAGAGCACTGCTGTACTTGCAGAGGACCCAGCTTTGAATCCCAGCACATACATGGCACCTAAAAGCCTTCTGTAACTCCAGTTCCAGGGGATTCTATGCCTTCTTTCCTTCTCGGGCACAGCACAACATTGATGCACTTGTGTACATTCAGGCATAAGACTCACACACATAAAACAAAAAGAAATTCTAATTCAAATATAGGTAATACATGCATATAAAATTTAAAATAAATAAAATATTTTTAATTAAAAGTGGCTGATTACTACCATAACATTAGAGATACTCTAGCAGCAGAGGGCATATCTTGCCAGGCTCACTGATGTTGTACCTCACAAGTTTCACAACTGGATAAGGCTGATCATTACTTTTCTCTTCTATGACATGTATTGCAACTTACAGTATTATGAATGTTAGCCAGTAGTGATGAAGCACTGAGGTCAGCTCAAGCTTGATTTCTCCTTGTCTATTATACAATTTATGTATGCAGTATTTTCAGTGGAACTTACTGTCAATTTATGGTGATATTCAGGAGCAATTCCAATAGCCAGTATTGTTTTAGGGCCTATGGGATGCCGCTGTTCAACAACTCCAAAACATTGCTGACATTGAGCTTTTTATTTGCTAGCATGTGGTATATGGTATAGCCATTAGACTCCTCTTATAGGACAACTCCATTTAATCTCCATATATACATATATATATATATATATATATATATATATATATGCTGTAAGAAGCTTCTAACAGTACTAGGTTTCCATATAACTTTTTTTTAAAAAGGACTTCAGTGTTAATTATCTCTCACCTTACTCTCTCCTCTGTCCTGCCCTCCTGTTCTCCACCCACTTAAACCTACCTTCTTTGTCCATTATTTCCCTTTCCCCATTAATATCACTGCCTTCTATCTCCCCTCCAATGAACATCCCCAACCAATGGCCCCTTACTAGTTTCCTGACTTCTGTGGATTACAAATGAAAGTCATATATCTAAACATTCAAAGACAGTATCTGATTATGAAAGAAAACATGTGGTATTCATCTTTCTAGGTCTGGGTTACTTCACTCAGAATGACTGTTTCCAGTTCCATTCATTTACCTGCAAATTTCAAATAATGAATTGTTAAATAAATATATGATAAGCATTATTTATTTTATATGTACATATATATAATGCCTAGTAATAAACAAAAAATCCTTAAAATCCTACATTTTACAAAAAGCAGATAGCAGGCTAAAAGGAGAACACTTGATAAGTATGATATCATTAGAATCCAGAAAGGTGACTAATGATTATAATATCAACAATAATAGGTGATGTCCACAAAACTTGATATGTACTTTATGGGTTGAGATGTAGCTTACTAATTACCATCATTTCACAAATAGGAAAATTGAGGCATATAGATATTAACTACCATGGTTTTGATCAATGAGATCAAGGATGACCTCAGTAGGATTTTTCGCTTGATATGGTCAACCCTTAAAAATCTATGCACAAAAATTTAATCTGTAAAATAAAATTCTGAAACATAAAGTGAGGATAATCCTGATCCACAGAAATGTTCACCTTCAGCCTCTTGATGTATTCCTTTCTCTGCTGTGTGTCCTCATCCATTTAGTAATCAATGATAACTAAATTGAGCATGTTAGATATGTTGATTCTTGTTTTAGGAATGTGGAATACATTCCTCAATGAAACATGAAACCCTTCCTTGCACAGACCACAGAATTAAATAGGAAATGGAACATAATAAAAATTAAAGTATAGAACAGTTCTAGGTAACAAGCAATGAAGTAGAAAATAAGATCTCCTTAATTGGATTTAAGTTGGTAGGGTACTATCAAGGAAAGTCCTTGTGAGGACAAGAGTGAGAGTCAAGGACTAAATGACATGAGGAAGCGAGAAACAGGGTTTCTTGGAGGACAAGGTGAGCATTCTTGACAGAGGGCATGATTCTGCAATGGTCTGTCTGCTGGGACTGGAGTCAATGTCAGTTCAGAAGCCGGGGCAGATGGAATTTGGTGAGGAAGATGGAATGTCATAGAGGACTTATCAGAGAAATACTCCACTGGATGGCTCACATGCTTCATTCAGAAAGTTTCTCTGTATGCCCAAATTTTCAACTTTGTGTCTTTTATTATTTACTTTTTTGTTTAATAAATAACTGTAGTATTTCTTTCTCTATGTAAAACCCTGTTTGCAGAAGACATTACTCCATCTACTCCCATACAGATATCCTCAGGGAAATGTCCTTAGGGGTATTTGAAAGATTTGTCCCATGGGCAGGCATTCTTGCTAGGGCTTCATCCAAGTCCTGCCTTGAGGAAGGTCAGGGACACTCCATTCCCAGCCATTCCATCACAACAAGAGGAAGGTCAATATCCAAATCCTGCACCATGGGTCAAGAATTTAAGGCTTCTCAAGGTCAATAGAAGGGGGGTGTGACTGAGCTCTTCTGCTGCCTTGTGATTGACTCCATTTTTCTCTTCTCATCAGATGTATGCATCTCTAGAAATGCTTAAGTTGGGAATTGAATCTTAAATTGGGAATTGAATTTTTCAGAAGATACACATGACAAAACCAGTGAATATCAGAACAAGAAGACCCAAAGGTCATTCCAGTCCATACCTAAGATCAAGAATGTACTCGGCAATGCAATGGAGTGTAAACAGTGAGGGGCAGGAAGGTAGGTGAGCCAACTTGGGCATGGTAATGGGAATGAGGGGGTGAAAGGGCAATGTTCTTCACACAATTCCCTGTGACTCCACTTGAATGTCTTCAGTTTCGCCATGGCAAACACCCAAGCTCCATTGATCTCAGCATTTCATTTCTTACTGTCCACTGGAGAGCAAAACTTCTACATATTTGAGGTCAACTAATGGAAAACTTCCAAAACTGCCAATAGTCTAGTTTCTTTCCCTTTGCCACATATTCTCCTCAAGCTCACTGATGTCCTACTTCATCAGGAAATGTAGGCAGTCTCAAAAATCCCTTCAAGACACTGACCTGGTACTCACGGTGTCTTCTGGATCCAACCTCTGCAATTTCACCTTTTGTTAATTATGCATATAACTCTCCTCTCACCATTTCTCATCTCCCATAGGTAGAGACTGCCCTTTGGCTCATACTGATTCATTTCAATCTCCCCTTTTCCGCATGGAAGACCTATGTCCCCGATATACTTAGTGCTTCTTCGTGTTACATCAATAGCAGTGTCTTTTGTCACACATTTCTTAGCCTGGGTTCCACTGTTTCACAACTCACATCTTGGATACACAGCCTTCCTTCTGAGAGTGGATTGTGATAACATGATTCAAAGTGTTAAGTTTAAACAATTACGGAAATAGCACTCTTCATCAGATGCTACCATTTAAGTTTATTGATCTTGTCATTTTTGAAGCAGAATGTACACTTTCAATAATTTTGATATAAGTCCTGTGATTTCACAAGAATTTCAGGGTCAGGCAGGGCTATAATAACACTACCTCCAATTCTATTACACAATGAGAATCCTTTGTCCCTTTTGGGAAATCTTTGACTAAAATGTTTAGAAACTACTTTCCACTTCTGGGTTGGAAGCAAAATGTTCTGCTCTCAATATGTGACAAATAGAAAAATTACAAGGGCCATCACAGAACTGGACACAAAAAGAAACCTGAATGAATTAAAGTTTATAAAGGCGAAGCTCTTCTGAGGATCAGGGGCCTGTGGTTGCTTTGATCTCTGTGGGTAACACAGAAGCCAAAACAAATTATCTCATAGATGGCAATGAATATATTCCAGTCAAGTAGTTAACTTTTACTGATTACATTAATATCCAACCTGACAGATGATAATCCTAAAATGTCTGAAAGAAGTAAAAATCTACCCACTCAACCTCTTTTTCAGGAAATTTCCTAACTAATGACATGAAATGAAACCAATACCTGAGATCAAGACCAGCATGAAGACTCAGGGCTCTTCCCTGATGGTAAGGCAGTGGCTGGAGAAGACTGGCATGGGACAGGAGATCTGAGAGGATACCCTGAATGCGAGGCAGTATCATGCAGAATTTATATACAGAGAAGCAGAACTGGCAAAATCTTTCTCAAGGTGCACAAAAGCTTCATTGAGTGTGCAGCTGCAGCCAGACAATGGCTGGAGGTAGGAAATAGACAGAAAACAGCTTCCTAGGCTGAAACGTCCAGAGCAGATCTGGGGAGAAAAAAATTCCTATTGATCCCAAAAATGGCAAGTTGTTTTACATAAAGGAGAGAAAGGAGGGCAGAGATAGTAAGAAGGTTAAGACATATTCATAAAAATAAGAATCCAGACCCAGAGAGAGGCATTTGATGTCTTCCCACTTAAAGGAGTACTTTTCTAACAATCAAAATAGGCTAAGTCACCGCAATGAAGCTAAAACTAAGTCTAGGGATATATATATATATGAATGAAATGGGCAGCAGGCCCCAATCTTGGTCAAAGAATTATTGGCAGCTGATTACTACTGGATGAGGAAGAGATGATCTTCTTTAAGGGAGTGAATCTAGAAAAGCTGATGAGACTCAAGTGGATGAACTTGCACTGAGGGATATCCGGGGGCACTAACTTGACTCAATAGGTCTTAACATAAATGACATAACACATGATCCAGTGGTGGGTGATTATAGGAGGGTGCTCATGGGGAAGGGGATATACAATTACATTTAAAAAATAAATATTGTCCCAGATACCACTTACCCTCATTTTAGATTGAAGCCCACATATCTGTGGTCTGAGAGGAAAGCAATATTTTTCCCTGGACGAAAATAGGATTTATTTTAGTTTTTAATTGTTTACATACATTGTCTCCCATGCAATACATAGTCAGAAATGAGCAGATGTGAAATAATAAGATCCATGGATAAGCATGGCATTCTCCATTACAAGAGGATTTAGACACAAACTAGACACTTGAACTGATAGATTTTTAATAGCCATAATCAATGTGATCCATTATATTCTGACAAAGGTAGAGGGTGCACATGAAACAATGTGATATTTCAGCTAAAATAATTACAAAAGGGAAAAGTGGAAATAATTTAATAGAAAAGTACAATAATAAAACAAATGATGAATTCAGTGGACTTAGGAGCAAACTGAATATAATAACAGAACAACAGAACTGTGAGCCTGGAGACAGACACATAAAGACATTCAGTCTGAAGTGCAGAAAAAAAAGAAAAAGAATGTAAAAGTGCATCCAATACTCATGAAGAAGAAGAATATATGCATTTACAGTTGGAGATGTAGGGGTAGTAGGAGAGAGAAAGTGGCAGAATTATTGGAGGAGAGAATGGCTTAGAATTTAGGGAAAATTGTGATTCATATTAACCTGCTTGCCCAATAAGGCTATAGAATCCCAAACATGATAAATAGATGATTCTGTTTATGAACTTTCAAAAGCAAAACATAAAGATGTATCATAAGGGTAACAACGTGGAAAGCTTCCATAGAGCTGAACAGCAATAAGAATGATCTTATTGCCAGATGACAACCAATGAATGCATTTTTAAATTAATTTTGAAGCTAATACATAAAAACATAAAATCTTTACATAATAATAGGTACCATGTGATGACTCCACACATTCATATGTTGATAATCAGGTTAAGCATATCGTCCTCCTCCATCATCACTTCTTTGTAATGGAAACATTCAAAATCCATTTTCTACTTTTATGAGATGCATGGTACAAAATCACTATCCATAGTAACAGCACACTGCAAGGCAAATTAATGTCCTGAGATTTTTGTCATATTAAGACGTAAAATTCATGACAATGAGAACTCAAAACTTATGAGGATTTTAAATAGAATTGCACTGCTCTAAATCTCTTATTCATGACTTAGATAGTATTTTGATATAGGCGGGGTTAAAGAGAAGTGTGATGGAGCAGGCATGGCTGTGGGCACTTGTAATCCCAGCACAGGAGACTTAGGCAGGGGTATAGTGAGTTGCTGGCTAGCCTAGAGAACAAAAGAACACTGAATAAATAAAATAAGAGTATTATATTGTATGGCACATTAACAGAAAAAAAGATGGTAAGAAAAAGTTAAGAAGGAACAGAAAATCAAATGCTAAAATTTGATCAATTCTAAATGAGAAACAAAAACAGATGACATAACCTAGAAAAAATAAATCCCTCAACTTACACCCAATCTTAACAGTAGTTACACTAAATGTTATAAGTAAGTATTCCCTAATAGGATAGAGTACACTGGATGGTTTTTCCCCAACTAATGGAGGAAGTACTCCTTGATTTTTTTTAGTTTATAAAATCAAAACTTGAGTATGGTAATTAAATTTAGCATGCATTTATCTGGATCATATGACACCTGGCTATTCAATCAAAGATACTCCAAGTATATCTTTGGGAGTGTTTTGGATGAAATTCCTGTTTAATCTGGTAGAATGAAAAAGCATAATACCCTAAATCATTCAGGAAGGCTGCATTCAAGCAGGTTATGGCCTGAATAGACAAAAGAAGCTGATGCTCTTTTGTTTAAGAGGATAGAACTTTCCCTGTCAAATTTCCTTCTTTCTGAGACATCATAGTTTTTTTCCTACCTTTGAACTCTACCTGAAACTTAGTTCTTATTGGGTCTTGGCTCTGCCTAGGTTTGGACTGCCTCTTCACTGTCAACTTCCCATGTCCTTGGATGCACAGGCCCACATTTGGAAGTAAACCACAGGTTTTGCTGGGGTTGCAGCATGTTGACATTCAACCTACAAATCTCAACCATAATTTTGTAAGCCAAGTTATTATAATATCTTTCATTACAGGTTCACATCATACACACATTCAGAGAGAGAGAGACAGACAGACAGAGAGACAGAGACAGAGAGAGACAGAGAGAGACTACATATCTACAGATTTCTTCAGTTTGTGGCAGGATTATACTCCAATAGCCCATTGTATATTTGAAAGTCCATAGTTTGAAAATGACATTTAATACCCCTAACATATTGAACAGCACAGGTTAACCCGGCCTATGTTAATGTGTTCAGAACACTTACTTCAGACTACAGTTGGGCAATATCATCTAACAAAAAGACATTTTATAATAAAGTGTTGACTATATCACATTAATATACAGATGTTTTTTAAGGAAGGTATAATGGACAGCAAAATGATAAAACAAAATCCAAAAACATGGTAATACTGAACACCGTAGGGTATCATTTGATTACTCTCATGACTGAATGAATGACTGGCTTGTAGCTACATCTTGCTGTCACTGCTCATCACTGTGAGAGAATGTCACATAGTCTATCACAAGTCCAGGAAACAATCCAAAGCATGGTTTCCACACAATCTGTGCATATTTTCACCATTGTAAAGTTGAAAACTCATGAGTTGTGACATCAATGAAGCTCCCAAGAACTGTATCTTCATGTAACTGACTTGGATAGGTTCAAGGACTGAAGGATGAAACAAAATAGATAATGGCCAAGCTAGAGAAAGAAGGTGTGGCCCTATTGGTGTCAAACAAAGAATATTTCAGAACATATCTACATATATAAAGAGGCATTTCACATCAATTAAGAGTCCAATTAAAAAGTTATAATTACACATGATATGTGCAACCTAAGAATTTACAAAAACATCATGCAACAAAAATGTTAATGTCATATTAAGTTAAAAAGTCAAACTAAGTCAAATTTATAAACATAATTAGAAATTTTACACTTCTTTGAATAATTGATACACCATGGTGAAAATCTGTATGGATATAGATCATGAAAACAATATGCTCAAGGTTTTATAGAACTAAAATGCACAAGAATACATTTTATTTATTATTTCAAAATAAACCTAAAATAGAGAATTAAGCTGGAAAAATATATATAATGACTGTGGTCATAATGTACATGTTCACTGTTTACAATGGAAATAAATTAGAAAGTAACATGATTACAATTTGCATAAAATGTCAAAATGTTTTGTAATTAGCAAAACTATAAATATACCTTGAGTTAAAGAGAAAATTATGAAGTTGTTTAAATTAGTAATAAGCCCAAACATAGCAAACATTTTCAGATATTAGTATATTATATATTATAAACCAACAAAATCTATGTGACTATAAATACCTATACTGCAAAAGAGGAAATATTTTAAAATCAATGATATTTACTTGCACAGAACAAAATTGAGTTGAGATAGAAAATATGATGGAAAATTACAGAAGAAAACAATTCATTTTTAAAACTTAAAAAAACACCCTGGTACATTGTTAAAATACTAGCAGAAAAGAATGGAAAAAGAGAATGAGAGTGAAAGGAGACAGAGAGAGGGAGAGAGAGAGAGAGAGAGAGAGAGAGAGAGAGAGTTATCCATTATATTAAGAATGCACAAAATGCAGTTTGATCCCCAAAATTCATACAGAGGTTGAAGGGAGAATTGAATCCCCAAAGCTGTCCTCTGCCTGCTATAGTCATGCTGTGGAAAATGATCCCTCTGCGTTCTGCCACACATACATGCAATATTAGTAATAAATAAAAATATAATAAAAAATAAGACTGCATGGTGAAACTACCATATTATACAGAGACAGTCACAGAGTCACAGAGGGGGATTCTTTTATCCTTTCCCTTCCTTAAATGAAAATTATTAAGTTTTTCTTTAACAATGAAGAAATTACCTGTAAATAAAGGAATGTTTATAATATTTACAACTGTTAGCTAATAAATTGGACAACTTAAATGAAATGGATTTTTCAAAAAACTTAAAATCAAACATTATCAAAATATGAAATGAGGAATTAATGAACATGAATAATAGGCTTTCTAGGAAAATCAAAGATTAAAAAGACAACCAAATTAAGAAGTGGGCAATAGGATGAAACACTCGAAGACAACGTACAAATGTTCTTTAAATTCATAAATGTACTCATTCTCAGAAATTAGTAAAATAAAAGGACAAATCACAAAGCAGATGCATGCCTGATAAAAGACTGTTGTGCACCACATGTGGGGAACTCTTACAAAGCAGCAATAAGAAGGAAAATAAGCAGCTATAAAATAATCTAAAGAATTAAGCAGACATCTCACAAAAGAATATGTGTGTGCAAAACTAAGGCTATTAAAAGATGCTTGATAACATGTTTCATTCAGAAAATAAAATTGTGTTACAGTTTGTGTGCAGATGTGTGCATGTGAATTATATGTGTGCAGACATGTGTCATTAACCAGAGAGAGAGAGAGAGAGGGAGAGAGAGAGAGAGAGAGAGAGAATAAAAGATCAGTGAAGGAGAGAATGAAAAGCACAGAAGACCTCAGAGCAGTGTTCCCTAAAAGATATTATATGACAACTATTTGTATGAATTTACATTGCATGAAATAAAAGTCATTTAGAGATGATTTTCACTATGCAGAGGATTGCATAGCCTGTATGTGAACACGGCACAATATCACAAAAGGAATCTAAGCTTCCTTGAAGTTTTATTACCCACTGGGGTAGTTTGGGTCACTGATCTCCCAGTGTGCTATATTTTCTGAAGTAAGCCAGACACAAGAAAAGAAATATCACATATTCTATGATGCTATAGTGATGGACATATGGTATTAAACATTTGTCAAAACCTGTAGTATGAACAATACCAAGAGTTAAACATAGTGTAAATTATGAACTTTGGGTTAGAATTATGTTTCAGTACAAATTCCTCTATTGTAAAAAATGGATTGGTCTGGTGGGAGATGTTAAAATGACAGAGAGTATATGTTTTCTGTTGTTGATATCTGTAGAGAGGTTTTGGAAGCAGTCCCTTAAAGATATGGATGTATGAATGTGTTACATTCTTAAAAAGGCACATTTTGGAGGCAGTAAAGAAGACCACAGTTTGCCTGGGTTCTGCAGGATGAAGCACGAGGAATCTTTAGGATGGTGAAATATCCACATGCTAATGAGCAAGCTATGGATTTAGTTTAAAAGACTATATGGCTTATTAGCTGCAACAAATGTACTAACATAGAACGTTCATAATAAAGGAGATTCTATAAGCAAGAGTGATGTTAGGACTTTCCCCTCAATTTTTTTATAAAACGACTAAATTTCTAAAAATAATGTCTTAATTGAAAAGAAAAAAATAAAAACCAAAATTAAGCATTGTGTCTCATTTACTGGAATGTCTAAAATAAAATTGTCCAGCAATGTCATTTTGACAAGAACAGAGTTACTTATAATTGATAATTGAACTATAAAATTGTACAGACACAATTTCATATTCACAACAATAGTATAATCAAAAAGGTTAATCCTACAAAATTTTGCAAGGTTGTTGAGTAAATGGAACTCCCTTATATTCTGACAGCGTAGAAAATTTTCTAACCCAACTGTGGAGGACTGCTGCAAATCCTATAAACAAACACCAGCCCTTTGACCCAACCATTCAGTCCCTAGTCATTTACCTAAGATAAATGAAAACATATGTCACCAAAGACAAAGAAAGGAATTCTCAAAGTAATTGTTGCTCATAATAGAACCAAATTGTAAATGTTACAAATGTTGAAATGCAAAAGTTAAATTGAATTGTGGAGTTGTAAATAGAGTAGCATCAATTTCAGAATTAAAAAATAACAAACTTCCAGTATGTATGAAATGTCTGCATCTTAAAAGAATGTTTGACAGCAGAATGTGGACAGAAAAACAGCATATACATTGACAACCGGCAAAGCAAATAGGTTTGAAAGCAAATAAGAAAGTGAAGCACTTGCTTTTGAACACAGAAAAATTCACTGGACAGGGCAAATGGGAATTCTCCATTATAATGAAAACGTGGGGTTTTTTTCTTTTTGTTTGTTTGTTTGTTTGTTTGTTGCATGCTTGGTGGCAAAGGTTACTAAACAAAACACTCATTTTTTGCACTTTGCAGTATGTTAAATGTATATAATTTTTAAAGGTTGAGTAACACTAATTTAATGGTTAAGACTTCTGGCTTTGACTACAAACACACCATGTTAGAAATCTGAATTCTGGTTATCTATTGTCAAGACTTAAACAAGTAAATTAATATTCAGTTTCTAAAGCCTTTACATATAAAATAAGGCTGAACACATAATATTTTGTGTTTTTGAAGACTAAATGATGCAGGTAGAAATCGGAGGATGTTGTTTTATCAGATCATAAGCATTTAATTAATATTTTTGCTGTCTTAATAAAACCCTGGCAATTCTTCTTTCAAATGCTTTTTGTATATTTTATCGGCACTGCTTTGTTATTTTCCTGCTCAGCCTGTTTGGAGAACACTCACGAGTCTTTCCCAGCTTTGTGGATTTCTTTTTTCTTTTCACCGCTGCATTCAGAATGAGAGCCATGCACCACTCATGTCCTAAGCAGAAGCAAGGTTTGTGTTAACTATAGCCAACATGGGGTTTTATTTCACAATAACACCTTTTTTGCACTAAAAATACCATATTAATACCTCTATGTGACGAAGAATAAGATCTTACATCAAGTTTTTTTCTCTAGTTTTATATATAGCACATTCCTAGGCATCTAATGAATGCTTAACAAAATATATTTCATAAACAAGTGATTTTTAGAGTTTGTTAAAAACAGAACTTATTTTATTCACTGAGGAGTGTATACGCCAAGGCTAACATCTATGTGGGAGCGATCTGGTGCTGAGATCTTACAGCTACACTCAGTAACCCCTTACTGACCACTCAGTGTCTTCTAGGATGCAAAATTCAACAAAGCAAAGCTCCAGTCAGCTCTCAAATTTAAAACTACCTCTCCGATGCTGTGATGAATTTTCATTCTTCCAGTTTGTTTAAATTGTTTTCTCACTTTTATTAAGTAAAAAGTCACTGAAAGTAAAGACAAATGTTAAAATTCCATGGATGTTTTCTATTTATTTCCTATTTGTTTTCTACCAACCTTGATTTTTCGAGTTCTACTGTATAGAATCAAAGGTGGGAAAAGGAATGTTAACAACATTTGGCTCAAAGTTGTGGAGGAGAAAGGACATACATAGAAGAATAAATTAGGGGGATTTAGGAAGCTGTAAGATCTCACAAAGACAAAAGAGATACAGCAAGAGCTGGCTTGGGCTTGTGCTTTTTCCTCTAGTCTGAAGACATATTGGATTTTGCAGAGTTTTGTTTTGTTTTTGTTTTGTTTTTTTTTTTTTTTTTTTTTTTTTTTGTTTTCTTTTTTTGAGACAGGATGTCTTTGCAGCCCCAACTGACCTGGCACTAATTATGTAGACCAGGTTAGCTTTGATCTCACAGAGATCTGCCTGCCTCTACCTTCTGCTTGGACTAAAAGCCTGCACCACCACACCTGACTGGATTTTGCTGCTTTTAAGGTGGTACATTTTTAAAAAGAAGTTATATGTCCCTTGGTTCCTGAGATGTTCTTTGATATTAGCGTAAAGTAACATAAAACTAACTAAATAAAACTCCTCATGTGATTTGAGTGGGGAACCACTGATTGCCTAGCATAGATAAAAGCATTTTCTGAGGAAGTACCCACCTGTACTGGTTCCTCTGCAATCACCAAATACTTAATCTACATTTATTTTTCTATCGTTGAAACATGATACCAAAGAGTGGCACTATGTGGATTATGGGCTATCTTCCATTTCTAATTCTAACTACTTGTTTTTGTCTCCCTGAATCTTTCCTCGTTCTTTTTTTATGGCTTGTATGGTGCCTGTTGCTATACTCTGGGGTTCTTTTCAAAGAACAGGTTTATTGGAAGTCAATGCTGTATAGCAAAACTATCTCCTGAACTCCATTTCAGCGAGAATAAATATTTCCTACTGACATACACTTTGTCATGTGGAATGACCCACAGCATGGTGGACTAAAGACCAAATCTGTCTCAATTCCAGAAATCTAATTATTAGTAGTAGATCCTAATCTGTTTATACATTTGGATCAGCATAGGAGAAAGTGTATTTTCATATGGGCAGAAATATCCCAGGTTTAAAAATGAACTGTCTATCCTCAAAGAAGGCATATCCAGAAACAACCATGTTACAAAGCCAATAATAGGTGGGGGAATATAAAGATTGTAAGTTTAAAGTTGTCTCATCTCAAATGATTCTGATCTTCTATGCTACAAGCAGTCCTGTATGGACTGGGGCCATGAAGCTGAAGATGGGTCTTAAAACCATGATGCACAGTGATAATCATTCTACAGAAGCAGGATTTTGTGTTGCAAATAGCCTTTCTTTGATGTGCACAGAAGTGATATATCATCAGTCACCCTGAAAAATGACTCGACATAGAAAAGAAGTAAGAAGTAACTGGAATAGCATGCTTTCAATGGCCACACATTACTGACAACTCCCCAATTCTCCTCATTATTTAATAAATACTAGTATTATAAAGGAGTATGTATTTCTTCCTTTGTACCCCAAAATTAACAGATTTGAGGAACACTTGTTAAGGATATTTTAGGAAGACTGGGGTACAACCTTCATCATCCTCTTCTGCCCTCTTGTGGTCTATCTCTCCTAACGTTGGACCCTTGCCCTAGGCTACAAACAGCCCCTTCTAAAGGAACTATACGATGTTGATTACCTTATATATTTCAGAAAATTGCCCATGTAAACTAAGATTGCAACCTCATTTCAGACAGAGAGAAGTATTCTGTTGCTGAGGCATTTTGATGTCTTCTAACGCATCTGTTATTATGGCATATGCCCTGCTGTTTAGTATAAATTTTTTTGTTCATTCTTTGTTTCTCCTGTAAAAATTTGGAAGTATTTGTTTACCTATTTACTATTTTCCAGCACATTGCTTTGGTTTTCATTTTAGAATTCTCTTTCATGCTCCAGTGCCGCATCTCACCTGCTCCACAAGTGGATTTCCCATAATTAAAAACATGTTGTCTCTGTGTATCCTATTAAATCTTAACTTCCAAGATTTCTTTCCTTTGCTCTCTACTAATTACCATGATTTTTCAGTGCCTCGCTAGACTATGTCGGTAAGTAATCCTCCAGACATATGTCAGGTGTTCCTTTCTAAACACATGTCTGTAACCATGCTTGCTCCACTGCTCTGTTTTAATAAAAAACCAGCAAACTGGACTCCTAGATCATATGTCTTCTGAATTCTATAGGAGAGCATCCATGGGCATTTCTGCTTCTCTGCCCAACGTCCTGACCTGGTAAGTATTCATTAATTTCTCTTGCCTTGTGTCTCCCACCCACCATCCCCCCTAGAATAAAATATACCAGCAACTTTACACATTTTAAGAAAAAAAAAAACTAAATACTTTTATCATTTCTTTATGCCCACATTAAATTATAATAGCTGTCTGGTATAGATTCCGAGTCCCTCTTACGTCAATATGCTTCATATCTGAGCTTGGACCACACCATCTCCCCCCTTTTGGACATGTTCCATTTTGCAAGTGGTTTGTTCCCACTTCATACTGCAGCACAGTGATTTTTCTAAAGCATAAATCTGTCCCTGTCACTCCCCCTGAAAATTCATGCTTGAAGAGGCTGACCCAGCTGCTTTGGGGGACTGGACAGCGGGAGAAGAGATCCTGTGTTAGCCAGCTCTTTAGTAGACGCCCCTCTGCACTATCCACTTGTGGTGGTCGGGGGCGGGGCAGGGGCGGGATTGAGCCCCCTCCCTCCTCCTTCTTACTGCGGAAAGCTGCGGAGCAAGCGAGCCAGCCGCACTCACTTCCTATTCAGCATTCAGCAGGGAAGGAGCTTCTGAACAGCCGCAGCCACGCCACGTAGGCATTCTTTTCGCTGGAGGAAAAGACCCAGCAGCTGTCGGAGGAAAAGACCCAGCAGCTGTCAGCCAAGGGATATGTCGCAGCAGCCAAGTAAGAATATGGGTGATTCCAGCCCTCCGCCGGAGTCCCCTAAGCCTCCTGTCTATAGCCGCCCTACGGTTCTGATGCGGGCTCCGCCTGCTTCCTCCCGGGCTCCTCCAGTCCCTTGGGATCCACCTCCAATGGACTTGCAGGCTCCCCTGGCTGCTTGGCAGGCACCTCAGCCTGCCTGGGAGGCTCCCCAGGGCCAGCTGCCGGCCCCGCTGGGTTCGGTGTGTCCACTTCCCCAGCCGCCTGCCTTGGGGGCTCCCATGGTCCAGGCTCCCCCACTGGGGGCGCCGATGGCCAAGCCTCCAGCTCCAGGAGTCCTGATGGTCCATCCTCCTCCTCCGGGAGCCCCGATGGCCCAGCCTGCAACTCCAGGAGTCCTGATGCTTCATCCTTCGGCTCCGGGAGCCGCTATGGCTCATCCTCCTCCTCCTGTAACCCCGATGGCCCACCCTCCTCCTCCTGGGACCCCCATGGGCCATCCTCCTCCGCCTGGGACCCCCATGGGCCACCCTCCTCCTCCTGGGACTCCCATGGGCCACCCTCCACCTCCTGGGACCCCAATGGCCCATCCTCCGGCACTGGGGGCCCCGATGGTGCATCCCCCTCCTCCGGTGACCCCGCTGGTCCCTCCACCCCCACCTGGGACCCCGATGGCACATGTTCCCCTTCCGGGGACACCGATGGCCCAGCCACCAGCTCCAGGAGTCCTGATGGCCCAGCCGCTGACCCCAGGAGTCCTGATGGTCCAGCCACCTGCTCCAGGAGCCCCGATGGTCCAGCCTCCTCCACCGGCTGCCTTGATGACCCAGCCTCCGCCTTCGATAACACCGATTGTCAAGCCTCCAGGTCCTGGTGTTGTGATGATTCATCCTCCGAGTGCCAGAGCGCCAATCATCCAGCCTCAAGTATCAGGATCACCAATGGCACACCCAGTGCCCCCCCCTGGGCAGCCACTGGCTTCTTGGGCCCCCCAGGGTCAGCCTTTTATCCTGCAAATCCAGTCTCAGGTCATAAGGGCTCCTCCACAAGTTCCAACTGTACCACAGGTCCCCCAGGTGCAGTTGGCCACAACCCCAGGTTGGCAAGCCACTTCACACACATGGCAGGGGGGCCCCCAGGGGTGGCAAACGACCCCCTTGACCTGGCAGACCACCCAGGTCACTTGGCAGGCCCCCACAATCACCTGGCAGGCCCCCCCACCCATCCGACAGGGGCCCCCACCCATTCGTCCAGGTCCTCCACCAATACGACCTGGACCACCTCCTGTGGTCCGCCAGATGCCACATGTGATCCGACAAGCCCCACAAGTGATCCGTCAGGCCCCACAGGTGATTCGCCCAGCCCCACCTGTAATCCGACAAGCCCCACCACTGATCCGCCCAGCCCCACCACCTATCCGGCCAGCTCCACATGGCATGGCTAGCCAGCCTCAGCTGTGGCAAGCCTTGCCTCCTCCACCTCCACTGAGGCAGGCACCACAAGCTCGGCTGCTGGCCCCCCAGGTGCAAGGTGTGCCACAGATGCCTATGGCACCACCTGTTACGCAGGTAGTGGCAGCACCACCTGCTGGCCCGCAGGTGCCACAGCCAGTGCTGCCAACCCCACTGTCTGTCCCAATGCCTGCCCCCCAGGCTGCCCCTCAGTCTGGCTCTCAGGCTGTGCACTGCCCATCCATCATCTGGCAGGCCCCGAAAGAACAGCCCCCAGTGCCAGAGGAGCTGCCAATGTCGTTGGAGTTCCAGGAGGTGCAGCAGGCCCAAGTGATGGGCTGGCAAGCACCCAAGGTGCCCACTCATTTCTGGCAGCCTGGGCCTGACCAGGAGGAAGAGGAAGAGGACACTGAGGTTGTCCAGGTGGAGCAGCAGCAGCCCTTTCGGGGGTCTCCAGCCTCCCCCAAAGCCCTGCAAACTCAGCTATCCACCCACCAGGCCCAGCCCACAGGCCCACAGGCAGAAATGCCTGCAATGCAGATGGAGCCTTCTTGGGAAGGCCCACCCCCCATTTTGCAGGCCCAGCCTGGAGCCTCCATAATGCCAACAAATTTTCCCAGGGGCTCTGATAGATCAGTTGTGACTCCTTCAAGAGAATCCAGGGCCTCTTCTAGAGAACATAGGGGCTCTTCTAAAGGCCGCAGGACCTCTGCAAAGGAGAAAAAGGGACCTCCAAAAGAGCGCATGATCATAGGTGCCACCTTCTGTGCTCCAAGGGCAGCATCAGCTTCCAGGGCACACCTACCAACTGCCTGGAAAAACTTGCCTGCCACATCGGAGCCCTTTCCTGCCACTTCAAGGGTCTTTCCATCTACCTCTCATTTCCAGCCTGCCTCTTCTAATGCCTTTAGAGGCCCATCTGCCACCTCAGAGAGCCCAAGGTCACTGCCATTTGCCCTGCAGGATCCGTATGCCTGTGTAGAGGCACTGCCTGCAGTTCCCTGGGTTCAGTATCCTGATGTGAATGCCTCACCGGCATGTAAGGCAGTGCCCACCATCCTGATGGTGGCAGCAGCTGCCCCCCAGGCAGCTGCTACTATCCCAGAGGCCTCCAAGACCACAGAGCCACCACGGCGATCAGGGAAAGCCACCCGGAAGAAGAAGCATCTGGAACCCAAAGAGGACAGCTGTGGTCAAAGGATGGCCACACGTGACTGGCGAGCTACCCGGCCCTGGGAGAATCCCAGTCAGAATGACTGGGAAATACAAAGGGCTGTGCAGCTCCTAGGGGACTGGGAGTACCTCTACACTCCCCAGGGCATGAATGCTTGGGAGTGCCCCAGTACCTCTAGGATCCTGAGTGGCTGGGAGGGTCCTAGCACATCTTGGGTGCTAAGTGCCTGGGAGCATCCCAGCACTTCACAGGCCCTAGGTCTCTGTGATGGCTCAGGTGTGCCTCAGCCCAGGATCTTCTCTGAGGTCCCAAGTCTCTCTCAGGGATCCATTGCCACCCAGGAGGATCCCAATAGGGAGGCTCAGCCATTGTCTCCCTTAGATGAGAGAGCAAATGCTCTGGTGCAGTTTCTCTTGGTCAAAGACCAAGCTAAGGTGCCCATCCAGCGCTCGGAGATGGTGAATATCATCATCCGAGAATATAAAGGCGAGTGCTTAGATATCATCAGCCGTGCGAACACTAAGCTAGAGTGTGCCTTTGGTTGTCAACTGAAGGAAATTGACACCAAAACCCACACTTATATCATCATCAACAAGCTGGGGTACGCTCAGGATAGTTTGCTGGTGTCCTATTTAAAGAGGCCCATGTTTAGCCTCCTAATGATGATATTGAGCTTCATCTTTGTGAAAGGGTACTGTATCAGGGAGAACTTGCTCTTTAGTTTCCTTTTCAGGTTAGGATTGGATATCCAGGAGACAAATGGACACTTCAAGTGCATGAAGAAGCTCATCACCAACGTGTTTGTAAGACACAGGTACCTACAGTACAGGCAAATCCCCAGCTCTGAGCCAGCAGAATACGAGCTCCTCTGGGGGCCCCGGGTATTCCTCGAAACCAACAAGATTCTTGTCCTGAGGTTTCTGGCCAAGCTCTATGAGAAGCAGCCCCAGATCTCTCCATGTCATTACGTCGAGCCACAGGTGGAGTTTGAGTGCAAGGACAAAGACGAGGAGCCTGATGACAGTGATGATGATTCTAAGGAACCCACCAGCAGTCCCCACTAACAGGGGGTACTAAGATGAACTTATTTCTTTGGGTCCCAAGCCAAAGGACACTGGACAGTGTGTGTGGGACATTGTGTTTCTGATGTTTTTTGCTCCTGTGCCATGTGTGTAACTTTGAATTTTCAATCTGTTTTTATACCTGCCAACGCTTTGTACATTTTCATGTGATGTTGATTTAAATCGCCTACTGTACTGTTTGGTATATTGGTGTATTTTTTAATAGGATCTGTGATTCTTTGTTTTGTATTACAGTTGTTATGTACTGACTTTGTGAAATGAACTGACAAGCTATTCGTCTTATTCTGGTATGTGTGTGTAAAACTGTAACACATTGTTCTTTGTTAATATGACACATCAGTAAAAAAAACTGGAGAACAGTAAAGATCTATATCTATATATCTATATAAATTTACTTTCAATATAACATGAAGTACGTGTATTTATTATAATTTTTACTCGAGATGGAGGGAGCCAAGCTTTACTAAACTCCCTGAACGTTTACAAACACCAAGATCTATCAGTGAAAGTAAAACCCACGGATGCAGACAGCTTCCAGGGAGATTACTCCATTCATCCTTGTAGTGATACAGAGATTGTGGTGGGTGGTGAAAGCTTTAATTCCCTTAAATTAAAACTGTACAAGTAAAGTAGGCAGAATAAAGAGGTGGTCATGTGCCTCTTCTGATTTAATCCTCAGAATAATCCTTCAAACTAGGTACCTATTTTGTAGGTGAGGGCATAAGATACAAAAAGGCTAATTAAATTGCACATACTAGTAGTAAGGAAGTATAATTATAATTATACTCTTTAAGGGTACAAGGGAAAGGAAGACCTTCTTCCTCGGGAGAGATATCCAGGTTTGCTAGCCATGAGGGGGTGGGAGGCCACTCCAAAGGTGCACTTGCCATTTAGGTAGCCCATGGTTGATGTCCAACAGCTCATATTTAGAACCTGTCACCCCAGTGGTACTAGAATGTAAACATGCTCCCAGCATAATATCGTGATCCTATCAGGGATAAATAAAATATTATTTCAAAGAATTTAAGACCCCTGCACATTGCAGGTGGCTGTGGTGGGATAAAAATGGGCATTTGGAGAGAGATTCCTTGGGAAGTAGAGTTCTATGGGAAACAACTAGGAGGATAAAGCTAATCGGAGTGCACAACGAAGGTCAAATGGCAAGGTCTAAAATAGTTAAATATTTGTAGTCATCCCTTGCTTACAGGCCCTGGAGAAGAAGAGGGTTGATCCGCTTGAATGTTCTGGGGAAGAAATTCAGGTATACATGACTTTGGAATACACAAAAGGACTTCCTGGAGGCCACTGCTCTTCTTTTGGGCAGGGAGCATTTCTCCTCCTTGCCACCCCCTGTTCTGTCAGAGTCAAGTAACTTAACCTTAAAATTTCCCATTATCTGAGTAAAGCAGAAACACCAGGTGAAGCAAGGAGCAATGATGGAATTCGTCTGCCACCTACTGGCTTATTAGTAGTTGTACAGGCACAACTGGGGTCATTTTCTTTTCCTGTAAGTTTACCCCACTCCCAGAAAATCAGGTGGTCAGCACTGCCTGCTTTAAAACCTTTCTCATAATTTTAGTTATGTTTGTGTCCCCAAATTTCTTTTAATATCATAGGACAAGGTGAAATCCCTTTCCAAGTCCAACTCAGTCCTCACTCACAAGTCTCTATTCAGGAATGCATCACTGTCTCTTACAACAAAGGAGCAGTCTATCCTACCACTGCACAGCAAGCTTCCTAGGAAAACTGCAGCCCTCCATCATCCTTGATATTCCTGGCTCCAAGTGACCATATTTTACCAGAATTTGAGGGACTAGAGAGTCCTGCCTATATGATACCTCAATCTTTAGTTGACAACAGTAAAAATATGCAATATCCAAACTGAGAAGAGGTGTGGCCAAGACAATAAACTGCCACTGGGGCCTATGGTTTTCAGTTTATTTAGGATAATTTCTATAGTTTCTAAAACACTGTTCACCTATGCATACTTTAGAGGGTTTTACATGCAGTGAAATTTGGAAATGAGCATCATATGACTTCAGGTATGCCTGGCTCTACTCCAGGGTAGAAGAGCTTGCTCCTCATCCCATATCTGAGATAAATGCCAATAGATGAAAAACTGATTTAGATTAAACTATGAGATATAAATGACAATAGTAACAAAATACATTTTTCATTACTATTGAAATACTAAATTATTCAAATAATACAATGAAGATTTTAAAGAGCTAATATTGTAAAAGCAGGAGGGAGAAACCTAATGCTCAGGATTATTTTAGAAAGCATGATTAAAAAAAAGTGGGGACAAATTCAAGACTAAATTACTTGACAGTGTTAAAATATAGACAAATGTTACATAAAGATTTTAGTCAACATACAGAGAATGATAAAACCCCTCTGATTAAATAACCAAAAGTCATGGAACAACAAAACAGGAAAAAATGGATTTTTTGAACTCTTGCATGCCCCTGGCATTTAAGGACAAGAATGATAGAACAGAATTACGGGTTCCATTGATTAAATTGGTATAGAAAAAATGAAATCACATAGAACATCCAATGTGAATAAGGTCATCATAAGACCCATACTCTTACAACACAAATTACAAAACAAAAATCAGTACAATTTGTCCTGAAACCAATTCAACTGACTCTGTCTTCAAGGGCTATAAACATAGAAGCAATTTAAATAAAAATTTCTCATATGGGGATAGGTTGGGTGGGAAGACTCTGTAGTAAATGTGAAGACTTTGTCATAAAGTAAGCTGATGGTGGATGGAGAGAAGACCTAGTGCATTTGACTCATGCAATGGGCAACAAGCAAGGCGGCTCAGGGAATTTCTGTTGAAATACCATAGGCTTCCTCAGAAAGCAACTTGTGGTTTGTTCCAACACATAGAATTTAAACTAAAAATTTAGAATGAGTACAGACTGAATTTTTAAGAATAGGTGCTAGAATACAAAGGCCATGAAAGGACTGCAGTAGAAACCATGGTGTATTAAGCTATGGCCTCAATGGAGAGGCACTCAAAAGATGCTTTACCATATATGTTTTGTTTTGTTCTGGTTTTTGATACAGTGTATTCCTGTAGCACAGTTGGCCTTGAATTTGCTAGTAAGACCAGGCTGACCTCAATCTCACAGAGAACCAACCACCTCTGCCTCCTAGGTGCTGGGATTCAGGTGTATAAATGTATCAGTTAAATAAAGTTAATTCAAGTGAGATTTCCTCCTCACATCAATAAAGGAATTGCAACTTGTATACTATGTACAAAGTATTAGGTTATAAGCAAGTTAATATCAGGATATTTGCCTAAAAAATATTGTCTGGATTTTGCAATCATTTTACAGTCATTCTTCCTCAGAGCCATATAGAAAGGGGACTATTGCTTCTCTGCCAGTCTTGTTAGCAGACACAAATTGAAAATTGGGGCTGTGATCAATGAAGGTTCTCCTTTCTAGATGCAAGGGTGGGGTCCCCATGTAACCAGAAGTACCTACTCCATTTCACATGTAACTTATGTCATTAATTAACCTTCTGAGATGGAGAAACACACACAAAACCTTGTCATCTTATCACTTACTGGCATAATGCCCAAAGAGAGACAGGATCATTTCTTGACCACTATAGCTAGTTGCCCATGCTGAAAACCTGGAAACCATCCAGCAGAAATGCTCTCAGGTCACTCCTCCTTTGCCACATTGCATTGTCAGGGATTTTTTCTTATCTCCCACACTGACCACTGTGGCACTTTCCATTCCTATGTTGTCAATTTTCAGAGCAACTCACCATTAGACCTCCACATGCCAGTCCAGAGTCTCTAAACCACCATAAAACTCAATAATGCCACAGCACACTTAAAGCATGGGTGTGGCTCCCAGTGTCCCTCAGAGTAGGAGGTGGTCCACCTCAACTACTTTCCCTTATCAAGGAAGCCAAAGAGCAACCTTGTAGATGGAGATTATCGAAGAAAGAACTTACATATGAGACCAGGGGTCCCTCTGCTGGACACTGAAAAGAGCCACTCCAAATTTAGATCAGATACTTCCTACTCTCCATTTTCTTAATCCAAGAAGAGTATAGAGACGTGATTTTTAGGGTACAAGGTCTGGCTTCTCTGGAGAGAATTTTTAGGAAAGCAAGCCAGTGTGGATCCATCTTTGGGGCCTTTTCTGAAAGTAAACCATTTCATTTTTTTTTCAAGTGTCCTAATGGGCTACATTGGGTTCTATATCATGTGAGAATGCAATCCTCTTATCTTTTAAGATTCTGGAAGGTTTACCTTCCCATTTCTGTTTGGAGGATCCTTTACTGTCAGCCTCTTATTTTGCTTTCAGTGGCACATAGGTAAGCATCCTGTCTTGTCCAGAAAGACCTCTGTTTCTGTGTAAATAGCCTAGAGCTCTATAAATTGACAACTCATCTATGAATGACATGTAGCCTCTATGTCATCAATGAATGGAATCATTGATAGCTGGGTTGTTGTGTCATCACAAATCATCATAAGCCAACACCTAACATTTCCTTTATGCAGAAGATATACTACAGTGTGCTCAATAATGCTTGCAAATCTCTTCCTTAAATACAAATAGAATCACAAAACAGGGATATGAATGCTGGCAGTTCTAGTTTGTGTGAGATAACCTTTTAAGTATTGCATCTTAAAATAATTATAGATCCATAGGAAGTTCTAAATATTAACCTGTTCATCCTTGGATAGTCTTAATCTAGTTTTTCCTACTATCTATGCCTTTCATAAGCTTAGTGTAATATTGAGCACATGGTTAGCTATACTAATGTGTGGACACATTTATTTCAGCATCATTTTATCACACTATAGAGTTGGCAGTTGTCACCTCGGTCTATTTACAAGACTATTTTACCACCACAGAGTAATCTCCGTTACTCTTTTACAGTCAAATCCATCCCTTTCTCCTGATGCTTGACATCTGACAATGACCACTCTGCTCATCTTTATGCTTTGTTAATTTTGAGAAAATTATATAAATGGAACTATACCCTTGAAGAATCATTTAGCACAATGCCTTTGATTTGGACTCAAACCGTTAAATATATAGTTAATTACTATTTAACACTACTAAAATGTCTGTCTTTGAAGGACATTAATATCTTCAGTTTTGGTCTATTTATTGCATAGTCAGTACAGAATTCATGCACAGAGTTTCCATAAATATTCACTTATTGATTGAAAATGGGTGTGATCACTGTATGATATGGTAAGTTATAATTATTATTATTATTATTATTATTATTATTATTACATTTTAAACAAACTTCCAAACTATTTTCTAGAGTAGCTGTGAAGTTTATATTTCCTGAACATATGTAAAACGTCAAGAAATTGGCATTCTTTCTGGTGTTTAGTAGGTAAATAGTGATATCTTACTGTGACCACGAGGATTCTTTATAGCTAACAGTGTTGGCCATATTGCCCTATGCTCACTTACCTATGCTCATTCACTCCCTCCCTCACTCACATGACCCTTGGTATCTTCCTGGAATTGGTTCCAGAACCTGTGGAAATGAAAATCCATGGCTGCTCAAATTTCTGCTACAAAGTGATATAGTATTAACATATAAACAACTTGTAACCTCGTCTACATTTTAAGTCACCTCTAAATGACTTATCATTCTTAACATAAACAAATGTTATAGAAGCAGTTATTTCACATTACCTAGGGAATGCATACCAAAAAGGTTGGTGTGCAGTCAGTACAGACATTTCCCTCATCTATTTGTTCTGCAGTTTGTTGACTCTGCAGATGATGTCTGCTTAAGTATGGTACTGCTCAATGTCCCATTCAGATTTCCTGAGAGTCAGAATCTTTTCATGAAGCTCCAAGTGTGCTATGTATGAACATGTATACATAAAGCCTAAGTTGTGATGGAGACATCGGGGTATTGGAAGACCCAAAACATGGAACATCTACCAACTAAAACTGTAAGCACTGAGTACGGACAGATCATAACAGAAGTCATGTTTATCCCAGGCAACTGAAGGGGAAAGATGTGCTTCCATGGCTTTCTGAAACCAAATGATTCCATTATGAGCCCCAGATGCTAGACCTGGTTTTGCAGTTTTGATATTTTCCCATCTGGGTTTGACCTTTGGTCTGTTATTTTCTTTCTATGCCCCTTCTCCTGCTTTCTGGAAAGGTAATGTTTACACGATAGTATTACATATTAGAAGTAGGTATCTTTGAGACTGGAGAGATGGTTCAGTGGGTAAGAACACGGGTTGGTTGTTCTTGTAGAAGACCTGGGCTCGAATCTCAGCATTCACATGGCAGCTAACAACTCTCCATAACTCCAGTCCCAGGGGATCCAACAGCCTCTTCTGACCTCCGTGAACATTGCATGACATGGGTGCACTTACCTACATGCAGATAATACACTCATACATATAAAAAATAATAATAATAAATAAAATAAAAAAGAAGTAGGTATCTTTATATTTTATAGGGGTCACAGAGAAAGAGATTGCCCTGAGTGTCAGAAGATACTTTGAACTTGACTATTTTAATGGTATTGTGATTATTAAGGCTTTGGGAACTGAAATGCATTTCACATTGTGAGATGAATATGAGACTTTAGGGGCCAGTAATGGAATATTATGGTTAAAAGAGATGTGCTGAGGTGTCAAGGTGACAGGAGAGGACTCGTGATTATCAATTTCAATTGTCAACTTGATTCCATTAAGACATACCTAGACCATTAATGAGGCTTACCATTCCATCAATCTCTGAGGTCTTTTCCAGAGTGAATTAACTTTTGGAGAAAGGACTGCTCCCCCTAAATTCTGAGGGCATCCTCCCTGGGGTATAGTCCAAGACTGAATAAAAAGAGAAAAAGGAAAAAGACAGGTGAGTGCCATCAGTGCCCAAAGTCCCCTTCTTCTGCTTCCTGGAGTATCCAGACTGGAATACGGGACCCCATGTTCCTGCTGCCATGCTTCATGTGCCACAAGCCTGTAATCATGAACAAAATTAAACCTTTCCTCCCATATATTGCTTCTTGTCAGGTGCTTGGTTATGATAATGAGAAAACAATTCATATAATGTATATATAAAATAATTCCATATTCTGTATATAAAATAGCCAATGTCTGGTTTTAGTGGCTTAACATAATAATTCCCATTCCCATCTATTTTTTTGCAGATGTCATAACTTCATTCAGCTTTACAGGTGTGTACGTTCTTTGGGATTCAAACATATTTGCATTCATCCAAGCCTTCTGCCATCCACTCTTTTCAGCTCAGCAACATCTGACTCTCTTGTTCTAAACAACTGAATCACAGGGTTTCTTTCACCTGAGCACCATCTTAATGCATCTGTTCACCTTTCTGTTTCATAAACCACGTTGGCACCCTTTGAGTTATAATTCAAGTAAACTTTCTATACTTATAACTCACCCAAAGTTACATATTTCATGATAACAGAAAATGGAGCAAGATACATAGCATCCTTTTTCATGGATTATTATCAATTTTCTCAAAGATCCGAGAAGATAGATTATTAGATTATGTATATACATAATAAAATGATACTGCTCAATAAACAAGCAATGATATCTCATCATTCACAGAAAAATACCACATAGTGTCCATTTTTAGAAATTTAAACTTGATCTTAGTAGACCAAGAAGAATATTGGTCCCCAGAATCAGAAAGGCAGAGTCAGACAAGATGTAACAGCAGAGTGATGCTGGAGCAGCAGTCAACCCTGCCTACCACAGCCTTACTCTAGCCTTCCAATGCTACTAATATGATACTGTAGATAAAAGTAAGTAGCTTCCTGCAAGATGTAGACTAGTGAAACTAACTTAAGGACAAATGCAGTCATGTGCTCTATCATGATGCTTTGGTGGATCATATGCATAATGGTGGTCTCCTAAGACTATAATGGAACTTATAAATCCTGTCACCTAGTGATACCATTCTGCAACACAACACCTTGCTGTATGTCATGATGTTGCCATAAAAATCTTAGCCAGGTATTTATTAATATGTAGTCACAAAAATTCAATAATAATATTAGGGTTTTTTACTTATGAATTTACTATGCTATAATTTCATTTATTGCATAGTTTAAGCTAACTATAAAAATTAAAGTGGCCAGGCATGGTGGTGCAAACCTTTAATCCCAGCATTCGGGAGGCAGAGGCAGGCGGATCTCTGTGAGTTCAAGGCCAGCCTGGTCTACATAGTGAGTTCCAGGACAGCTGGGGCTACAGGGAGACCCTGTCTCAAAAAATAATAATAATAATAAAAGACCAAAAAAGAAATTAAAATGAAGTAATATGCCCTATTGTAATGAGAGTAGTTGCATACATCTTGTCTTGATTTTTTCAATGGACTGGATTGAGTGATAAAGCCAGTTCATTAGGGCTTGTGCAGGTGAAGGCCACTCCATCATGTTTGCACAAAGTTGAAAAAAACCCAAGGATGTATTTATTACTACACAGCTACAAAATGTATGGCTGAACCATACACCAGCACACAGTCAACATATTTTCACTGATGAACTCTACTAAAAGTTTAAGAAAAATACTCCTAAGTGGAACATCTGCAGTGGAACCTGTATACATAAGATTCATGGAACATGGCAGAACAGGGGGTAAAGAGAATACTAATACATACCTCAACTCTCACCATTGAAGCTTCCTCATACAACAGAGTGTGATACACTCAGAACGCCACAACTGGCTAAGCTTTAGATAATAAGAGACAACAGAGTATCTGTACTGCACCCACTCATTTTTCAGGGACCATTGCAGAAGAGGGACAGAAAATTCTAAGAGCCAGGCTTGGTGCATGAACACAAGGGAACAGAGATTTCCAGACTGCTAGGAACTTGCTCACATGAACTGGCAACAATGGTGACAGCCTGCACAAGACCCATGCTGACTCAGTAAGACAACAATCCAGCATAGAACTGGGGAAATAGGCAGTGTGCTCCAACCTTAGCTGAGGAACTACTGACAACTGATTTCTGCAGGGTGAGGAAGAGTTGACCTCCTTTAAGAGAGAGACTCTAGATAGGCTGACTAGACCCAAGTGGATGAACTTGTACAGAGGGACATCTGAGTACAAATGCTTGACGAGATAGGACAAAACATATATGACAGACTGCATGAAATCTTGAGGGACTTATGGGGGGAAAATGGGAAGGGTGCTACATTTAAGATCTGTTATATTGAATTTTTAAAAACTCAATAAAAATACATTTAAAAATTGCTGCAGTCACTCTACCACATTTGTGAAGATGAAGCAGGAAGATTGTGAGTTCAAGGCCAGGTCCATAAAGCTAAAGTTGATTTAAAATTTATAAATGAGGGTGGGAAGATGATTCAGGTGGTAAAGGCACTACCTGCCAAATCTGAGGGCCTGAGTTTGATCTCCCTACCAAATCCCACAAGTTATTCTCTGACCATACACATGCCATGGTACACACAAAAAATAAATAAACAAATAAATACATTTTTTAAATTGGGGTAGATCAAATGTTAAGAGTATGTGCTGCATTAGACAGAACCTAAATTGACTTCAGAGGACTCCTATTGAGTGACTCACAACAGCCTATAACTCCAACTCTAGATGATCCAATGCATTCATCTATCCTCAAAAGGCTCCTGTCTTGACTGAATAAGTATTTTGTTATTGTATATATGGCATATTTTTGTATATCAGAATATCTGTTGTGTTGATTAGCAATGTTCTCTCTTTTTTTATTTCTTATGTATGTATTTTGCCTGCAAATAAGTTCACTCTTGTTGTGCAATGCTTATAGAGGCCAGAAGAGGGCACTGGATACACTGGAACTGCAGTTAAGGACCATCATTAGTCATCATGTGGGTATTGGGAACTGAAGCCAGGTCCTCTGAAAAAGCGGTCAGTGTTCTTAAGCATTTGAGCCATCTCTCTAGCCTCTGATGTTCTCTAAAATTCTGAGAGGTCTGAAGTTTTGATTTTTTTCAGGGATGTATATATTTTTAAATTTTGCTTCCAAACTAAAAGCTTGACTAACATATAAAGGTCTTCTGCATGTTTTTTTCTGTAAGGTGATATTGCTGCTGACTCCTTTGTTTGTTAAATGAATTTATGTTCCAGCTATGCTATATAAGCATTCTAGGATGTCAAGCTTAGGAGAGAATTTAAAGGGGGAAGTAGGGCTGGAGAGATGGCTCAGCAGTTAAAAGCACTGGCTGAGACCTAAGTACGATGGTCCATGCCTTTAATCCCAGTACTTGGGAGGCAGAAGCAAGTGGATCTCTGTGAGTTCAAGGCCATCCTGGTCTACATAGTGAGTTCCAGGCCAGCTGGGGTTACAGGGAGAACCTGTCTCAAATAAATAAATAAATAAATAAATAAATAAATAAATAAATAAATAAATAAATAACCAAAACAAAACAAAGAGCACTGGTTGCTATTGCAGAGCACCCAAGTTCCAGCACCCAAATGGAGGCTAACAACTGTCCATAACTCCAGTTTTAGGGGATCTGATGCCCTTTTCTGACCCTGCGGGCATTGAACGATATGGGTTCACTTAAATACATGCATGCAAAACACTCATACACATAAAATAAAAATTAAAAATAAAATATTAAAAAATATCTGTGTGGAAAATGTTCATCTTACAACATACATAATTAGAAACAAAGTTTTCTCTCTAAGATTGAAAATAAGTGATACAGGCCAATATTCATGCCACATGCTTAATAAAGGCATAGAATCTATGGTTCAGAATGGAGAACAAAGGAATAAATTGACATAAATATTATCAACTGATTCTGGAAATATACAAAGAAACCCAGTGGGTTGGGGCATTCATTTCAGTAAATAGTAGAAAGATCTACTATGCCTTTTTGCAACTGTAATATTTGACACTGAATTTATGCTTTACACAAAAGTGATTCAAAGAAGTCACAAGACTAAAAAAAACAAAACAAAACCATGAAACATTTATAAGAAACATAGGAGAACTTTTGCACAGTTTATGTGCATTGATGATGTTTTAGATTCATCAAAAATATAAGCCATAAAATAAAACAATGATGAACTGGAATAACTGGAATTTCCAAAATATTATCTTTTCTGTAAAATTCAGTGTTGAGGGTATGAAAAGTCAAACTACAGCCTTGGAGAACATAGTATTTGCATTTCATATATTTAATAAATTGTTCACATCTAGGATGTACAAAAAATTCTTACAACAAAACAGAAAACAAATGACTAGTAAATGACCAACAAAATTCACATAGGAACATGCAAAGTGCACAGTGTATGTGTGCAGCAAGGCCCTGTGTCAGTCTTTTTCCTCTCACTCTCTTTACAGTTCTTGGTTGAGTGTCCTTCAGCTGTTCTAGCTCATGAAAAAATGGACAATAAGATCTATATGTATATAGACGGAGGTCAAATGTAAGGTTACATATTCTGCAGACATGCTCATTACTATACTGCATTTTGTAGTTAGTGCTTGCACATCTTGGGGAAATCTACTTTAATTACAGTTCTGTGAGACCCTAGAACTGAGTCTCCTTGGATGTGAGCCTGTCTAGTCTACATACTGTGATTAGGAATTATTATCACTTTTTGTTAAATAAACAGCAACTATCCTTATACTACAAAGTTTTCAGCTGCAAAGTGCAGATGCCTCACTCTATGCCCAAGTCTTAGGGTCAAAGCAGAGCCTATCTTGCCCTCTGGTGGTCATTATGTAAAATAGCAGCCTCTTGCATTTTATGGTATTGGAAAAAACTAAAAGTTTAGCTTCTCTTTGGCTCTACTAAGTATGTCACTCCTGGGAAGTATGCTAAACAGCATCATTTTGTACTA